CCCCGACCGACCGACCCTACTCCCCCATACTCGTATTTGTATTGAATTCTCTCACTGATAGAACAAACTTCCTTTGTTATGGATATTTCGGCGATGTTATTGGAAAGAGAGTGAGAAAAACAAAATGATCTGATGCCTTCTTTTTTTTTCTCAGAGAGAATTAATGGGGGCTAAAGCATTCATGTTCTCCTAAAATGCAAAAAAACCACCAACTATTTATAAGCACAGCCAAATTTGCTAATTTACAATTCAAACATGCTAACAATAAATACTGGTTACATATCTTACACATTGGAAATGTGCCTCTAGCTACATTTCTGCAAAACTCCAAAAATGTAAGTATACATACAAAGTTTCCAGCTGAAATGAACACCAGTGCCAGTAAAATGGCAACAACCTTTGTTCATTTTCACAGATTATGATTACAGGGGCAGATTATCAATAAGGACTTATTCCATATACAATACTATGTTATAATCTCACAACACTTTTACCATAGTGCATGATTTGTAAACTAAAACATTTTGACATTTGCATCACTTAACCAGCTCCATATGTGTGGGTTATCGGAAGTATATTTGCTCGGTAGCACACCCGGTACAGCACTGCACTCGCGATAACAAGCACTCAGGTATGAGTCCCGTGAAACGTGTTACAACAGAGAAGCTCAAAGACTTGCAGAAGCAAGATAACATCACATGGTAGCATGTGTTTTCATCTCATGTTTGTTTTTGCTCACACTATCGGTTTAGGGTTTAGCGCCACTCATGGGACATTTAATTTCTGAACTGCCACGTAACGTACAACTACCGTGATAAAACATCGCCAGATTCAAGTCTTTTTGGGATATAACTGAATGCACTTTTAGGGCCACTCACTGGAGATTTCACTTTAAAAGTGACCCAAAACGTGCAAGAATCATAGTATGATTTTGTAGAAGTGTCGCCACAGGCACATGTTCCTAATTAGCTTTAGTTGGATTTTTAGCATGTAGGCTGGAACACTGAATGAAATAAAACACGACTGAATGTTGTTTTGTTTTCTTTTTACTTCTATGACTGAAATATAGATACATTTAGTAAAGAGATAATCATTAGCATAATGATTAATATAATGATGATTTAGCATTTGTCTTCATCTATGGTATAAAATGAAGATACAAAAAAGAACATATAACAAATCTATCAGTGTTTTAATGAATATTTTGGGTCCAGAGCAGAAAAATGGGACTCTAAACCTTAATGGTGGCTTAGAACACTACTGTTAAAACAGTATACTGATAGCATGTGTGTTAATGTTAAATATTCACTTCACAACCTGAGATTCGGCTTATTGATTAAAACGGCAGCTAATGTTTCTAATCTAAATTAAATTTATTGCAAAAAAAAAAAAAGTAATATTCAAAATTAGTCTTCACTTCTTCAGCTCGTATACAGCATGTAATCTAGCAAGCTATTTTCATACAAAGGTCCTTTCATTTGACTTACGTTAGTGTTCCACATTGCACTGAACCCTACAAAGTGCAGCATCAAGTTGCGCACAGATCAAGCGCTGTTACGCGCTGTTCAAACAGCTTCAACTTGGACCCTGTTTGCCTGCTGTCATTTCGAAAAACAGCCACTGATTAGTGGACAATTTGCATTATGTATCATTATCATTAGCAGAAAAGCTGACAGATGGAAGGCGTCAAAGGCATACTGTGACAATCTCCCTGCTCAAATGAACCATTTAAACCAGCCTACTCTCTAAAAAATAAAGGTTATAAAAGAGGGTTTTTTACAGAGATGACTCAGAAGACCCATTTTGGGTTCCCAAAGAACCTCTCATACCCCTTTTCCACCAAGGCAGTTTGAGTGCTGGTTTGGAGCCAGAGCCTTGTTTCAAATCGGTTCTTTGTCTTTCGACACCCAAAGCACCAGCTCAGAACCAGGAAAAGTGCTTCGTAAGTAGCACTAAAACATCGTTGGTCTAGAAGTAAGAACCACATGTGTCAGGGACTGGGTGACCGTGACCAACAAGACAAACAGAAACTTTTGACCGCCATTTTTGAAATAGCAGCTAAACATGAACATGTTGAATTCGCTTTGTTTGGATGCCGATGTAGGTTCGCAAAGCCATGGACATCAATAGCAATGCAACATCCACCACTGTTGTTTGTGTGTTTAGGCTTGTTCGGGCTGCATCGGCAATGCACGGACAGGTCAGTGTGCCGCGGGAGTGATTGGAAAGCAGACGACTCTCTTTATGCTTTTGGATCGCTTTCGTGGTGCTATGGTGTTGTGCGCCGATCAGTCAGCAATAGCGCCGATGTATCTCAAACAAGACTGCTGTGTTTGGCGCTGCCGTGCTAACATTACTGGGAAAGATGAGACGTATTCAGTGACGTAAGACCTGGCTCTGTGGTGGCTCTCTAGCCCATGGAAAGGCAAACCAGTTCTTAGAAGG